GGGAGAGCAGTGGGGGTGGGGAGAAAGGGGGGTCAGGATTGCATCCATAAAGCAACATTTCCCGCTCCATGGATAATCAGCCCACCAGCCAAAGCCATGGCACCACACTATAACATGGGCTGCTCCAGTGAGATTCTCCTGGATGCTCAAGTGATCATGCCTCTCCCGGCTACACTAAGGAGAATTACGCCTGCATTAACTTTTCACCAAATTTGCGCGCACCTTCAACAGAATTTGAGATTGCAGGTGGGCCGGAGATAATCATACGCTGTTTCCCACCATACGAACAAGATCTCGTGCATCATCCAAGATATTCCAAATGTTCAGCGTTCCTGTCAGAGAATTGCACACCTGCAATCAAAACCCAAACGAGTAAAGTCCCATCCTAACAGGTCAGGCATGTCATTCATTTCCCAAGGAAAAGGAGATCTGCCCAAGTGTAACATGCTCAACATTCCATTCACAACGGCGGAAATATCTACAATCATAATTGCTTAGTCCCGCCAGGTCAGTATTGTTATCACTCCTATCTTTCTACAGGAAGTCAACGCTGGATCTGCCAAGCCCCCCAACATCTCAGGGCATACTCACACTAGGGACTTTTTGTACAAAGCTCTGTTCATGATTACAATCAGATTCGTCCAGGTCCAGCCCTCATTACAGTCAGATACATTTAGAAAAGTCCTAGTGTGAGTATGACCTCAGATAGCCCCTTTGTTCCCAATGTGACACTACCATATTCACCAGCATAGAACGCCACAGTCATTATCACTATATCTAGATTCTAGACTCAAAATTGCCCCAAATACCGCTACAATGCCTGGGTGTTCTATTCGGGTTAAGACAGTAGCTGATACATGCTCAGTTGAGCAATGTACGTAGAGCCAAGGATCCACGAAGTGATGAAAAGGACTCGAATGGACAATGCAGCGTTAGCAAAGCATCACAAGCAATGTACATCCAGATACATACGAAAATAGCATAATGTAGCGCAGCAGAAGACTCAAAGATATGACCTGACTCATCAGAGACTGACGCGGCATCCCATCGTACACCACACATGTGAGAGAGAGAGGAGGGACTGCATACATGGAAGAAAGGTCCCTCCGTGCACAAGCACATGGGGGGAGATACCACGATGAGAGATGGCGGAGAGGCGAGACAAAGATGGAGGCGCAGGAGAAGACCAAGATCGCAATAGCGAAGCCCAAAAATAGTCTCCCTGACGAATGTCCAATCAATGTCTGCCACAAAATGTAGAATCAGATCCTGGGTATCACGCCCGATGTAACCTCTGCCTCTAACCTCTCTCTCACTCTCTCTGAAAGAAGAAGAAGAAGAAGAAGAAGAAGAAGAAGAAGAAGAAGAAGAAGAGGAAGAAGAAGAAGAAGAAGAAGAAGGAGGGAGAAGAGATGGAGGGCGAGACGAAGAAGAAAAAGGAAGGAGGGAGAAGAGATGGAGGGCGAGACGACGAAGAAGACGAAGACGTTGTCCTCCTCGCTGTCTCACCTGCAGGTAACTGCCGCCATGTACTAACTGCCGTCGTGGTCCCTGTGCAGGTTGCCGGCATGGCGCGGCTATGGCGCCCAGGTAAGACCGCCGATGCAGGTATGGCCTCCGCCCCTCTGCCTGCCTACTCCTCTACCTCCACCCCAGCTTAGCGCTGTAGCGCTGTGGAGTTGGTCCAGCAGCGTGTCGACCAAGAAGTGAGCTACTCGAACTGTGTGTCTGCCCAGCCATGGCCCAGCTATAAGTAACGCTGGGCCGGCTGGCCTGCCTCTGTGTGCCTACGGTCCTGTGCCCAAAACGTGGGCCTACTGGGTCTGGGTCCCAACCGGACATCCAGACCCTTTACCTGGCCCAGGGAGGCCTGCCTCCTGGTGAACCTGGACCCCTTGGGGACTGCAGGTCCGAAACAACGCCTGAACAGACAAAAATAGGACAGCAAATACATAAATAAATAAATAAATGAATGCTGTCTCGAATCGAAACCTGTGGCCTAAGGGCCAGCCGTGGGCCTTCAGGGCGCGCGTCCAAAGGGTGTGTGGCCTGGGGGCCCCCAGCAACCGTCGGGCCCCCAAAATGGGGCCCGTGTGCAGGCTCAGCATGTAACACCCCCCCTTCCTTAGGAACACAAGCGGTTAACAGGGACCCCCACTTTTCAGCCCTGGTTAACCCCCTCAACCCTGAAAAGTGCATTTTAGATCATTTTTTTTAGCTTTTTCTGTTTGTTTTTTGTTGCCCTGTTTTATTTTTGGTCAAGGTCTATGTGTGCCATGTTTGGTGTTTGTTGGGGTCTTGGAGTTGACTGTTTTGGCTAGCCCTGAAAAATCCTGAAAATCCTGAAAACTGAAATGAGTGAATTTTGCAAGAAAACACACTTTTGCCTTGCTGTTTTATAGCTTTTTAAAGTTCTTTTTTCAATTTTGTTTTTGTTCGTAGGCTGCAATAAGCCGTGTGCCTTCAGGGCGCGCGTACGAAGGGTGTGTCGCCTGGGGGCCCCCAGCAACCATCGGGCCCCCAAAATGGGGCCCGTGTGCAGGCTCAGCATGTAGCACCCCCCCTTCCTTAGGAAGTCAAGCCGGGTCGAGGGCGAAGCTGATGATCCGATGGTGGAACCTAGACGCGAGTACGGTGTGGAACCGAAGGTAGCGGCTTGCCTTGTAGCTTGCGTTCGTAACGTGCGAGGACATTGGGGGCTGTTGCCTGAAGTTCAGTACGGGTCAACCAACGGTCAGCCTGCAATAAGAAAAATGTACTAAGTACTCGGTCGGCTGGTTGCCGTGGCGTCGCTGGGAGATGATGTTGCCGACCTCCAAAAAACTATCCATGGAGGGTGGGTCTTGCGATCGTCGCCCAGGAAACTAACTTAGAACAATGAAAGACCGGGTAGACGGGCAAATGGGGAGGCACTTGAATGTCGAACGAAGGTCCTTCAGGTGCATCCCCAGTGGGTGCCACAATGTGCCAAGGCCCCATCCATTTGGGAAGGAGCTTGCGAGAGAGATCCTGTTCGAGGTTGAATTTCACGGCGGAGACCCAAATGAGGTCGTTGGCGCGGAATGGACAAGGAAGACGCTGGCGATTGGCCCGTTGGCTCATGCGTTGCTGCATCTTCGACATCTGGTCGCGTGCCTTGACAAGAGGTTCTTGCATCCGTCCGTGAATGAAGACAAGGTGGTCGTCGCTATTGATCGCCCGTGGGATGATCGTCTCCAACGGAGAAGTAACCGGCGAGCCATGCTCGAACTCAAAGGGTGACATCCCAATAGCTGGATGAATGGACGAGTTATATGCCAACTCGACATCCGGCAGCCGCTCAACCCAATCCTTTTGGTCGGGACGAATGAGAGTGTGAAGAAGAACATGTGCAGTTTGATGCGCCCTCTCCATTTGGCCATCGGTTTGTGGGTGGCGAGCCAAACTCGGCTTGAGAGATGAGCCCCATCGTTTCATAAGCGCTCGCAAACGATCTCCTTGGGGTAACCCTTGATACTAATCCAACCGTCATAAAAAAACTCAGCCAACTCCAATGCCTTGGCGTGATAGCGGCAAGGGAAAAACATGGCAAACTTGGTGAGTCGATCGACCACCGTGAGAATCCCATCCACACCGGTCTTGTGCTTTGGCCATCCGTTTGTGGGTGGCGAGCCAAACTTGGCTTGAGAGATGAGCGCCATCGTTCGATGAGCACCAACCAATGTCGCGGTCGCAAACAATCTCCTTGGGGTAACCCTTGGTATGAATCCAACCGGCATAAAGAACCTCGGCTAACTCCGGTGCCTTGGCGTGATAGCGGCAAGGCAAAAACATGGCGAACTTGGTAAGTCGATCGACCACTGTGAGAATCCCATCCACATCGGTCTTGTGCTTGGGGAACGACCCGGTGATGTCAATGGCAATCGATTCCTATCGTCCTAAGGGGACCAGTAATGGTTGCAACTCGCCCAACGGACGATGATTGCGGGATTTGCAACATCGGCAAACCATGCACGACTCGCAATAGCATGTGACGTCGCCGAGAAGGTCCGGCCACCAAAAGCGCTCGCGAAGTCGGCCAATCGTACGATGACTCCAACGTGTCCGGTCGCGGTAGCGTCGTGGAACTCGCCAAGAAGTCGTGTACACAAGTGAGGATCACTTGGCGCGCAAAGATGATCCTTCCCCCGCGAGTGGACTAGCAAATAGCCCTCTTGGATCCAATAGTGCGATGGCACCAGATTTGGAGAGGAGCAATTCGCATACTTGTCGCGAACCTCAGGGTCGACTTGGTAGCCGCGGATGAAGCTGTCCTGCAAGTCGTCGTCAACCTCGAATGTCGAGTAGACAGCGGTACAAAGGTCCGGACGCTGTGAAAGGGAGTCTGCAATACTGTTTGACTTTCCCGAAATGCGATCAGGGAAGAAGTCAAACTGGTCAACGAAAACCATCCAACGGGTGATGGTGTTATTGACCGTGTCTTGGGTCTTATAGAAGACCAAGGGATTGTTATCCGTTACCCATTGGAATTGACTTCGACCGAGAAGAAAATGCCACCATTGTTTAACCGCATGTACGAAGGCTAATAACTCCTTTCGTGCGTCGACTGGGTGCCAGTACACGCCATCGTGCTAGTGACCGTATCCTGCGTCGACCGGGTGCCAGTACACGCCAATCGTAATCAATCAATCAATCAATCCATTGACCGATCGTGCTAGTGACCGTATCCTGCGTTTTATAAAAGGTCAACAGATTGTTGTCCGTATTCCATTTAAAACGCAGACGGCCGAGAAGAAAGTGGCGCCACCGTTTGAGAACGGTGACGAACGCGAGTAGCTCTTTCTTCCTAGCGTCGTCGAGGATGTCAAAAGACACCGGCTCGCACGCAAGTGGCGCAAAGTATACCGGAATGTTGTCGACGCATCGGTCAATAAACTTTTGCGTGCGACCGTCCGCGAGTGTAACTTGCGTAGGTTGCGTCTTCTTTCGAACGCGCGGGCCATAAAGGCTTGGCTCATAAAGTTGCGAGACGCTCCGCAATCAATCAAGGCACTACAGGTTGCCTTTCCGATTTGAATGTGGATATAGAGCAAAGGAGCGTTGGTTTCGGCGTACCTTTGGGTGGCGTACTCGCAGTCAATCTTCGCAAGATAGGAGCGGAGATCGACAACCGCTACCCCGTCGTCCGTCAACGGAACTGGTACTGTAGTGTGCAAATAGGAGCGTAGATTTGCCATTAAGGTGTTGCAATGCGGCCTTGGCAAGGTTCCGGTTGAGGGTAGAGGCATCCAAGCGAAATCCTCTCTCGTGAGCGGGTCAAGCTCCTCAAGTCTTGACCACGTCGTCGAGTCCTCCGAAATCAGTGGCGAGCT